TCGAAGCCATACATGACGGTCAGCGGAGACTTCCCGGTGGCCAGGCTCTCCAAGTACCCGAAGGCGGCAGAGGGGGCGGACAGCGCGCAGCCGGTGCCCGGGCACCCTCGGAAAACGGCGGGTCAGGACAGGAAAGATGGGGGCTCGCCTCCTCTCTTGGAGAAGCAGACGATTACCAAAGACGTCACCGATAAGCCGCTGGACTTGTCCTCGAAGGTGGTGGACGCAGACACGTCCAAAGCCGAGCACATGAAGAAGATGGCTCCCACGGTGCTGGTGCACAGCAGAGCCGCGAGTGGCCTCGTGCTGGCCGGGGGCGAGATGCCCAAGGAAACCTTATCCCCTCCGGGGAGCGGCTGCGCTATCTATAGATCTGAGATCATCAGCACGGCGCCCTCGTCCTGGGTGGTGCCCGGGCCCAGCCCCAGCGAGGAGAACAATGGCAAGGGCCTGCCGCTCAAAAACAAGGCCTTGGACTGGGCCCTCCCGCAGCAGCGGAGTTCCTCGTGTCCTCGCATGGGCGGCACGGACACCGTGGTCACTAACGTCTCGGTGTCCAGCGTTTTTTGGCCGCCCGGCCTCCGCGTCGCCAGCTCCCAATGCCAATGCCAATGCCGATGGCAGCAAGACCAGCAGGAGCTCCGTGGACACCACGCCGTCCGTCATCCAGCACGTGGGCCAGCCCCAGACCACGCCCGCCAAGCACAGCGGGGCCAGCAGCAAGGGCACCAAAGCCAGCAACCCAGACCCGAGCTTCAAAGCGAGCGAGAATGGCCTCCCGCCCAGCTCCATCTTCCTCTCTCCAAACGAGGCTTTCAGGTCCCCACCCATCCCCTACCCCAGGAGCTACCTCCCCTACCCGGCGCCCGAGGGCATTGCCATCAGCCCCCTCTCCTTACACGGCAAGGGACCTGTCTACCCTCACCCGGTCTTGTTGCCCAACGGCAGTCTCTTTCCCGGGCACCTGGCCCCCAAGCCCGGCCTGCCCTATGGGCTGCCCACCGGCCGGCCGGAGTTTGTGACCTACCAGGACGCGCTGGGGTTGGGCATGGTGCATCCCATGCTGATACCTCACACGCCCATAGAGATCGCGAAGGAGGAGAAGCCGGAGAGGAGGTCCCGGTCCCACGAGAGAGGCCGCTACGAGGACCCCACCCTCCGGAGCCGCTTCGATATGCTGGAAGCGAGCAGCACCAAGTTACACCCAGACGTTCCCGCCGACAAGAACCTGAAGCCCAGCCCCGGCTGGAATCAAGGCAAAACGGTCATCAAGAGCGACAAGCTCGTCTATGTGGACCTCCTTCGGGAAGAGTCAGACACTAAACCTGACGCAAACGTGTCCAAAGCTGGCTTCGCCGCCGACAGCATCGGCCAGACCCCTGAGCCCGCCAAGCCCGCGGCCGAGCCGACCCTGCAGTCGCACCGCGATTTCATGGCCCTGAGAGAGGAGCTGGGGCGCATCAGTGACTTCCATGAAGCTTATGCCTTCAAACAGGCCGCGGGCCAGGCCGTCTTCAGCTTAAGCAAGGAGGGCGCTCCAGCGGGCCCCAGCAAGGAGAACCTGGGGGTGCCGGTCTCCGCCCCCCCGTTCCTGGAGCCGACACTCGGGAGCGATGGCCCTGCTGTAACTTTTGGTAAAACCCCAGAGGACCCCAAACCATTTTGTGTGGGCGGTGCCCCACCCAGTGTGGACGTCACCCCCACCTATACCAAAGATGGAGCTGATGAGGCAGAATCTGATGGCAAAGTGCTGAAGCCGAAGCCGTCGAAGCTAGCCAAGAGAATCGCCAACTCCGCTGGTTACGTGGGTGACAGATTCAAGTGTGTCACCACCGAACTGTACGCAGATTCCAGTCAGCTGAGCCGGGAGCAGCGGGCACTGCAGGTGAGCCCCGCCCCCGAATCTCAGTGACTTGACCAGTTGTCAGCTTTGTAATGTGTAAAGGGATGGGGGTGGGGGTGGGGGGGTCTGGCGAGGCAGGTGTGGTTATGAAGCTTATGGTAATTTAAATGTATGAAAGGTGGCCAGTAAGGGGACCTGAGGGGGAGCACTGAGGAGGTTCATGTGCCTGGTTATTTTAAGTTATTCTGTAGATTTTAAGAACGCCACTCAGATGCTGATAAAGGAAGTTACTGAGTGTGAAGGCTAAAGACTGCATGACGTGTACCTATCAGTTGCTTTAATTTCTCTGCCGTGACTGTACGTTAACGAATATGCCTAGAAGTGCTACTTAGGATGCCTGACGCGCTACTTGGTGGAGGTGTGTAGCAGCCGCATGTCTGTGGGATTCGTGCAGTTTTTTTTCACCAAAAAAAAAAAAATAAAAGCTCGCTTAAAGGGATAGAGTATGTATTTAACTTGCTAGTGAATGATAGATGTTGTATAGGAATTTCCTTAAGATATTTTACTTTTAATTAAAAGATAAATAAAGCCAAATTAAAATGGGCACTCAATGGATCATTTAGATAACTTCATCCATTTAATTACATAGATGGAAGGATTACAAGAGGACAGTATTTTATGTCTACCCGCTGCTTACTGTGAGGTCAGTTCTTCAAATTTTTATTACTAGAATCTTCCATAAACCTTTTGAGTTAAATTTCATTTCCAAATACCAAGGGAAGTTTGTGGGCCATGGTCGTCTTTATTCATTGTGCACTTTTTCCTTTTCTGTTGTGTTTTGTTTTGTTTTCTTTGCGTTGTGTTTTCGTTCTGTTTTATTTACCTTCAAGAGAGAATGTCTGTCTCTATGCAAGAGTGTATGTATGGCTATACATACACAGCGCATACGTATCTATACATATGGCTTTATGAGTAAAGAATGTGTGACTACTTACATATAGATCCTCTTAAATTTTTATCTGTTAAATTTTAAAATATCTCAGTTGTATCATAAATTGTGGTTGGTTTTGGGCAAACTTTTCTTTGAAAATACTTTCCTTTAAGGTAAGGCAAATGAAATAGCTTTTATGGTAAGGTGTTGTTTTTGTTTCCATCTTCGTTCTCTTTCTAGCGTGCAATGATGCGCTTCTCAGAGTTGGAGATGAAAGAGAGAGAAGGTGGCCACCCAACAACCAAAGACTCCGAGGCGTGCAAGTTCAGCCCTGCAGAGTGGGAAAGCTTGAAAGGAAATCAGGACAAAAAGCCAAAGTTGGTCGCCCTGGAGGAGGCCATTGCTGACCAGAATGACAGTGAGCGATGTAAGTGAACCCGAGTGGCTTGTGTGTGGGACCGCGGAGGCGAGCCTTTTGAACATTGTGGCCTCGGGAACGAGGCACCTATGGAAGACAGTGTCCTGTAGTTAGTAACAATGTCACAGCAGAACGGCAGCGGGAGCCTAAGTGTAAGGTGTGGCCCATCTATGTTCTTTTTTGTATCAGCGGAATGATACTTGTAGCCAGAGGTGGCTCCCACCACCGCAGGCACAGTCTGGTCTGGAAGAGAGAGGACTTGTGCTCTCCCAGACACAGAGGGTTTGTTTGAATGCGATGCAGGCTGAGGAGCAGACTCCTTTTCTGTGGGGAGGCGACAGTGCCATGCAGGGGCACCGTGTAAATGAAGGGCTTCTTCCCACTAGATAAAGTGTGTTTCCTGTTTTGGAGGCAAAATGTGGAGAGAAAGCTCGCTTTCCTCCGGCCACTCTTCAGTCCCACCAGCTGGTCCACGGCTGTGGTGGCCTTTGGGGGTTGCTCACATGACTTCTCTGCCCGATGCGTTGGGCATTTTGAGAGAGTGGGTGCAAAAGCCCCTCCCCCCCCAAGACAGGACAGTCCGGGATGATAGGTGCGATTGGGAGCGCTGTGCCTTTAAATGTGAGAGGTTTGCCATTCCTCCGCACACTTGATGGAGTTGGGGAGGATTTGTGGCCCAGGAGCGCTCACCCTGGGGGTCGGCAGCAGCCTGTGGCCGGGGTTGTGAGGAGGCCACACCGGGACCAATGTGTCCTGCGTTCGTCCAGGACAAGGGCGCTGCTGTTGCTTGTCAGGGGCCTTACCTGAGCAGAGGGGTTCTGGATGCACCTGAAGTGAAGGTGTCCTTGTTCCTTGGCCTCACGGGCTTGACATGGTGAAATGGAGGGTCCGGGCGGGTCTGGAGGAAAGCGGCAAAGAAAGCTTTCCTGGCTCATGCCCACACCAGGCACATAGCCCTTCCCGTCTGAGGCCCCCGGATGCCAGCTCTCCGGGACGTTCCCTGGGGAGACCTGGTGGAAGTGGGCAAGGCCGGCTCCTGGGCAGGTGCTTCTTTGAAGAAGGAAAAGCGCCTGCCAGGGAGAAGCCCTCTGGGTGGATGGCGAGGAAGGCTGGAAGGAGTGGGAATGAGCCAGCCTCCAGTCTTCCTGCCCTTTGGTTTTCCAGTGACAGGGCCAGACCCACGTGGCCCACGCCCCTCACATCTCAGCGGCCTCGCCCCGGCCTTGCTCCCGGAGAAGGTGGTGTCCTCCCCAGTCTGTTCTGCTGAACCTGGAAATGAGAACTCGGTGTGGCCAGAGGGGGGGCGGGCCAAGCCTGGGGTGATTCAGAAAGGCCTTCCTGACGCTTCTCCAAGCCCAGGCCAGTGGAGCCCCCAGGACATGGCCGAGCGAGCTTTCCATGGCCACTGGGGGCAGGGAAAAGGTTGGGGAAGGCGAGAGGCTCAGTTTTAAAGATCATTCAGCTGCACGTGAATGGGCCTTATGGGCCTTCTTTCTCCTTCTGGCCCTTGTGGTTTGAGCCCACGTGGGCTTGGTTTGCCCCCCGCCCCCCGATTGGTTTTCTTCTCATGAGAGCGCTGTGGCTGAGAGCTGAGCTCTGAGCATGTGGGCGCAGGAGCAGGCAGGGGTCACAAAGAGGGTTCAGGGCGCCTTCCAGGCACCTGGCCCCTCCCGAGACAGTCTTCCCTCCACTCCTGGAGGCACCAGAAGCTTCTAAGATGGTGGGTGCAGCCCGCGCGGAGGGGCCGGCTCAGGGAAGGTGAATGAACTTGAAAACACAATGGCCAGGATTCTCACTCATTCTTGGTCTGCGAGGGAGGTGGCTGAGTGAGGTTTTTATTTTAGAAGTTCAGCCGATGAGTCAGGAGCCTCCTCAGCCTTGGACTTTTCTGAATAGGAGCCATCAGCGGCGTTTTGAGGGTGGGGAGGGCCGGAGGCATACGTCCATCTCGCCGTGAATGTGAAGTGACAGCTCCTTTGCCAGTCCCTCGGCCAAGGCAGCCCCAGGACCTGCTCAGTGGCGGCGCCTGGGCAGGAGCTGCAGGAGGCGGGAGTCAAACTTCTTGCTCAGGAAACTTGTCTTCTGGCCGGCACCTGCGAGTCCTGGAAACTGCTTTGAGTTGGGAACAGAGATGGCCGTGTCTTTCCTGTAGACGGTGTGTTCACAAGCTTAGCCTTTGCTGGGGCTGCTGTGGTTACCGGAGAGGGGGGACTTCCGGGCACGGGCAGCCTTCCCACCTTGTGTCGGGCTCACTGGGCATGGCTCACCAGTGGTGAGGGTGCTTTGTTGCCACGGTGACTTGTAAATGTTGCCATGGCAATGCTGCTGCAAAATAATGCAATGGCATAACAATGATAAATTATGGGATGTATGTGCTGAGTCATATGACCAGGCTGCAGGGATGAAATAAGTGTTAAACCACAAACAACACGGCCACAGTCACATCTGCTTTACACCAAGTGGCCGAGAGCACATGGCCGGCCCCTGGCAGAAGGGCCGAGAGCAGTAAGAGTGCAGGCGTGGCGAGAGGCCTGCGCCGCTATCGGCACATCTCCTCTGCCCTGGAGGGTGATCCTGTGGCTTGTGGTTGGGAGAGATTCCTGTAGGAGCTCCCAGGCGGTGTGCAGGAATGCGACCCGGAGCCTCTGCCCCGTAGCTGGCGGCCATGCGTGCCTCGGCGGTCAGGGTGTCCTGTGGGCTATTCTCAGGCCTGGGCGGCAGCGGGCAATTGGGCTCTTTGCCTGAGAGGCCTAGAGGATGGGGAAGGGTGGAGGCACTTAGTTTGGGAAAAGATCCTTGTGCGAAATGGGGAAGAAAGCAACTAAAGTTTAT